GCGACGGTATCGACCACGCGGCAGGGACAGCGGACGGCCCCCAATGCAACAGGAGGAAGAGGAGGACAAGCGAGGGAGCGAGGGAAAACAAAAATGCTGAGAAAACTGACTACTACTCTGTACGCGACGCCGCCTCCCAGAGAGCTCCCCGGAAGGAGCCGTCCAACTGTTCGCTAGTAACGCGCCCGTGCCTCAGTGAGTTGTGGACCCGGTACAGAGCGTATAGCGCCCTGCTCCACGCGATGGTCTCCGCGTCTGGCCAGTCGAAGCCCAGGAAGAGGTCCAGCTCCCGCCCCGCGCGCGGCGGCGTCAGCCCGGCGCCTGCTGCCAAGAGCCGGCGCACCACTGAGCAGTGCGCGAAATGCTGCACTCCGTCAGGCCTGCCACCGCAACCGAATAGACAAGGAGCTTGGCCGTGGGAGCAGCGGCTGGGGCACCAGCCACCACAGAGTGTCCGCAAATAAGCAGCAGTGACCCGAGGCGCGCTGCCCGCCGCCACGCGCTGTAGCGCGCCAAAGCCCGGTGCAAAGCCTCGGTATCATTGTGGGCACGATATCCAAACCAACAAGGCCAGGGGGCCTCCGGAATTGCCAGAGGCCTCCAGGATTTGCTCCCTTCCTCCCTCTTCCCCTTCCTCTTCCACCTCCTCCCTTCTCCCCCCTCCTTCGCGCGCGGGCGCGGGAGCGTGGGTCTCCTTCTCCTCCTCCTCCTCCTGTTCCTGGTCCTGCTCCTCTTCTTTCTCCTCCTCCTCGTCCTCCTACTTCTCTCCTCTCCTCTCCTCTCCTCCTCCTCCTCCCCATCATTTTCCTCCCCAGACCTCCAACGGATTATTCTTTTCGATTGTCTTGTTTGATCCGTGGGCCCGATTTTCGCTGGGGGTCGTAATTTGATTGCACTGCGGCCCGAAAGCGGCCCCCAGAGGTCGAAGGTAGAGAGAAACGCCGACATGGAAAAAAATCACGACGTCGGAGGTCTGAGCGCCATGACCGTCCCCAGCGGCGCCACAACCGAAAACCGCTCGAGCCGACAGCGATACCGAAACCGACCTAAGCCGACCGACCGAAAGCAGCCGAGGAGGGCGTAGCGACGCGGCAACCGACCGAACCGACGACCCCCAGGACTCCCGACGAAAACCCGACTTCATGGGTTTCGGTGGGCCTGGCAAGGAGTGGAGGCCGAGCTCCGTAGCTCACCGTCCGACTCGACAATGCGCTCGCAAGGCGTGGCACACGTGACAGCAGACGGGGTGCGCAGGGTGCGGGTTCCTATCGCATTTGCAACGTGATGGCCGCGCACGCACCACATATGAAGTAACCGCGTAAGTGTGGCCCTTCGGTAGCATAATTTGTCATGGGCAAACTGGCAATGCTGCTGCGCGCCCCACGCAGCACCTGGTGCGCGCGACCGCGTGGCTCCACGCCCCGCGGGACCTAAATGAAGGACACGCAACAACAAAACAGCTTACGCCCATGTAGGACTGGCGCAATGATGGGGCAGCGGGCACAGCGAACATCCCAGGGATGGCACCCATGCGCCGCCCAGAAAACAACCAGTCGCAGCGCGCTTCCGCACTACAAAGACAGCTGCCTTGGCATTGCTTATACATTGCATATGCCCCCCCCACACCCCCAGAGCACAACATCAACTTCGCGGCCCGAGCGCATAGCTGACGTCCAAGCAGCCCTCTCGCGATCCATCGGCACGGCGCTAAAGGGTATAAGAGCCCATTCCATTCCACGATGTTGCACACTTTTTTCAGCGGGCTGGAGAGCGCTCCGAACCGTCGAAATGCGCGGGCGAAGCGATGTTGCACAGACACACACACGCACAGCTCCCTCAACACGCGCTCAAGTATTCTACGGTTCGCGGGCACGCCACAGCCGTGCAAATAACCGATGCAAAAACGCAAACGATGCAATGCAGCCCGAAAAAACACCGAACACACAGTAGACACGCATTGAACACATCAGTAAACAAACAACTTATCAAGAACCTTCCAGCATCATTAGCATTTAAGTACTAGTGGTGAATCGCAGCGTTTTTGAATTCCCGGCCCAAGAGCCCCACCCCTCCAAACTACCCCAACTCAGTCCTAGATGCCCCCAAGATGCACCCGAGACGGCCCCGCGCTAAATGGCAAAAGAACGAAGCAGTTTCTCATGACAGAAGTAATCCGCATGCCCGCAATGCACCTCCTCCTCCTCCTCCTCCTCCTCCTCATCGTCATCCTCTTACCTCCTCCTCCTCCTCCTCCTCCTCCTCCTCCTCCTCCTACTCCTCCCCCCTCCACTTGCCTATCCCCGCCCCCCCCCCTGCCCCTGCCCTTGGAGAGGCGCGCCTCTCGAGGCGCCCCGCTGCGCGCCCGCGAGCGGCGGCGGAAAAGGGGAGGGAAAAGGAAGAAGAGGAGGAAAGTGGTGACGATGATGGTGGCGATAATGATGAGGGATGGGGGGGAACCGGGGAGGAGGAGGAGGAGGAGGGAGAGGAGGAGGACTGAGAAGGAAGGTCGAAGATGATGGGGAGGGGCGAGAAGGAGGGATCGGAAGGGGAAAGGAGGAAGGAAGAGGGAGGCGGGGGGGGGAAGGAGAGAGAAGTATTGTTTCGCAATGCAAGGTGCAAGCGAATCCTTCGAATGCGCGCGCTTCGTTGCGATGCATTTAAAATGAAGCCAACCCCACCCGCTTTTGGTACCCCTACGCTTTTGGTACCCCTTATGGTGCTTCTGACCCTTGTGGGGCCACCAGGCTGTAGGACGAAGTGTGCTTGCTCCCTGCACCAGTGGCAGTTTCAAGTCTCCAGTGTTACAGTTCTGCTTTCTGCTTCCCACTGGAAATTGTTTAAATCCGCGCGAGGGAGGGGGGGAGCCCCAAAGGACCCGGTTTCCACGCCCGGATCTCGTGCTCTGAATTCCCCGGGGGGGGCGTGGGACATTCAAAACCGAAGCCATAAACTTTCGCAAATCAGCAAAACTCGCAGTGCCGAGGCCAAGAGTGCTCCAAGGCGCCCGAAGATGGTTCCAGGTTCCAATTCGGCCCAAGAGGGCAAAAAGAGGCCCAAAGAGCGCTCCAAGAGGCCTCCCGAGAGAGTCTCAAGAGGCCCAAATCGTATACTTGACGACGGTGTTTGAAGGATGTTGCCCTTCTCGCATGTTCGACTTTCTGACGCTCCAGGACGGCTCAAAAAGCTTCCCAGACCGCCCCAAAACAGCCCAAGATGCCCTCAACAGAACCCCAAGACGGCCCAAGAGGGCTCCAAGATGGCCCAAGTAGCGCTCAAGACGGCCCAAGAGGGCCTCAAGACGGCCCCAAGAGGGGCCCAAGCAGGTGACTACGAACCAAACATTCGACAGTTTTGCCCCGAGAAGCCCACAGGAGGCCCCAAGCGGCCGCCAGGAGGCCCCAAGAGGCCCCAGGAGGCGCCCAAGACTCGCCCAAGAGGCCTCCAAGAAGCCTACAAAATATCCCGCGAGGCCCCGAGAGGCCCCCAAGAGGCGCCCACACCGCCTCCAAGAGGCCCCCGAGAGGCTCCCCACGACACCCCAACACTAAGAGGCCTCAGACCAACAGCCCAAGCACGGTGGCGGGATGAGCCGAAGGTCACTAGGATGACGCCAACGTCTTACTATGCGCTGATGATTCCGATCCGCCCCCGCCGCAAGATGTTCCGCCGAGACACACAGGCGCTACTTGGCGGCGTGCAGAGGGGGGTAGGGGCAGGGGGGAAGGCTTCTTAGAAGCCCCCGTGTTTCTTAGAAGGCGCGGGCCATACATAATGGAGAAGGCCCGCGCCTTCTAAGAAGCAGGGGTGCTTCTAAGAAGCCGTCCCCCCCCTCCCCCTACTCGCGCGTGGCCGAGCTACTCTGATACATCTAAGTCTGATAGAGAGGGGGCCGGCGGCAGTGGGCGAAACCCTTACGGATACGAAGATGCGCGGGTACTGCTTCACGCGTGCGGAGGGCGGGTGAGAGTGAGCCGAACAGTTTGCGTCTGGGAGAGGCGCCCTGGCCTCCCCCTGTCCCCTCCCCTGGGCCTGGACGGGGGAGGGCCCCGCCCAATTAGAGGGTTCAAGATGGCCCCCACGATTGCTTCCCATACTTGGCTGCAGCCTGGAAACGCAAAAGGGACGCTCTCAACATGCCCCCAAGACAGCGCCAACACGCAATCAACCTGCTGGATATGCATCCCGCCCGAGAGCTATGGAAACCCTACTTCTATTGGGTGAGATCTCCCTTTCCCTGGATTGGAACTAAGTGTACTACTTCGTGCAGCAGGGGGCGGGATCCCGCCCAGACCACGCAAGACGGATGTCTTGCGAAGCTTCTAGGGGGGGGGGCGAAGGGGGATAGCAACGCCTCCCGGACCACGACCCCCTCGGGGGGCCGCTGTCGCGGGGTGACCGTGCTGGCAGGTATCGTGTACCATCGGAAGCCTTACAACAACCAAAGGAACTGTCGCAACACCGATGTCGCCCAAGATGACATGCCTCGAAGAGACGCCGAACATGCCCCTGCGACGACGGCTCCTAGATGCCATGGAGATGCCACGGGCCTTTATGGTTGACTCCTGGGCCTGCTCAAGCTGACCCCGAGCTCCTGTTTGACGGCTGGCCCCCTCGTTGTTCTACTTCATGCTCCTACGCTTCACTCATCACGGCAACTCACCAGGGGAATTGCTTCTGGGTGGGTGGTGAACAGTGACAGGCGAAGCGTCAAACTTTCAGTGTGGAGTATTGGAATCATGAAGTGAATAACGCACTGGAACACTTAATTACCATATCCATAATTGACTTGCCATATGCATAATTGGCCCAAAGAGACGGATGTTCCGAAATCAGGTTCGACACGGGAGACTGTGGGTGGTAAAGGCCACGTCCTGCTTGTAAGGGCGAGGAGGGACGGAATGCGGGGGAGGAGCGGGAGAGAGAGAGAGAGAGAAGAGCAGAGAGTCAGGTGGGGATCGAGAAGAGGCAGAAGAGGGTGGGATGGGGTGGATCAGCTGGTCCTCGTCTACAGCCTCCTTCACCTTCTCCGAGAATGCGAGGAGGTGCGTGTTGCCCGAGCTGCTCTGGTACCAGGTGGAGACGATGCCCACCTCTTTGCTGTGCAGTGGGGGAGCTGCACAGCAGGCTGCGAGGGTGCTCGCTGCACTGTCTCCTTGCCTGTGCCGCCCGCTGTCTTCGCTCAGTCGTCATGACTCTTGTTCTCCCTGTCTCTCGTTTCTCCCGTCCTGCAATTACCCTGGCTGCTGTCCAGCGTGCCCGCGGCGCCGAATAAATCGGATCCTCACCTTTAGGGGGGAAACCCCTTCTGCGCGTGGCCAACCCCTGCCTCAGCACGAAGGGCGGCAGATCCTGGAAGAGAGGGGTCCTCCTGGAAATTGCCCGCCGCTTCCAGGCGCCTGCTGGGGCCCTCCCAGAGCCCCTGGGGCATCGACAACAAGGCTCGGGGTGAAGAAGCTGGCCGTGGGGAGAGCCTAGGGTCCTGGGACCCGTTCCGGGGAGACGTAAAACTCGGGTACGGGACACTCGGGTTTGCCTGACGGGGCCGTCATGAAAATGACGAGACGCAGTCCGAAATTTGACGTGAACTCCCTCTGCAAACATGCCTGGAAACCTGGACCGTCGACATCCAGGTCGCGCTCGTCAAAAAGCGTAGGCTTTCCTCGGGACAAGATCCATCAACATCGCATCGGGAAGTCGGAGCGAATCGGACCGTGGATCGGATCGGGCTGCATCGGCGTATCGGGAAGTCGGGTCGAAGCGGAAGGTGGCTCGGATCGGGCCGCATTGGCACAGAACCGAAATCGAATCGGATCGGCTGCGCCCGATGCACACATCGGATCGTCGGAACATCCGAGCCGCATCGGACCGAGCCAACCAGAGTCCAGCGAAGCGCATCGATCGGATCGAAGAAGGCCCCTGCATGGGGCCCCCTCTCGGGTTCGCCGAAGCGGGGGAACAGGAGGGGGGGGTAGCACACCGTGTCCCGAGGCAGCCGCGCACAGGGGGCCAGAGCCGAGGGAAGAAAGAGGGGCCGTGAAATCTGGGAGAGCACTGGATCCGGCCAAGATATCCACACACACACACACTTTGGCGGCTAGACAAAAAGGTGACTGCCGTTGCGAGGAATGGCATGAACGGGGGTACCGTTGGGCCGAATCGTGCCACCATGCAGGAGGAGGGAGGAGGGACGCGGCCGAAGGAAAGAACATGAGGATAGGGCGGTCGGCTACACACAACTCACAGACACACCACACACACAATACACACAAAACACACAACACACAACACAGAACACACATACAGCACAAACACAACACACCCATAATACACACACACAACACGCAACACACAACACAACACACAACACTCAACACACCACACACAACAAACACAACACAGCACACAACGTACACACACACACGCTTAGCCATCACCCTAGAGGCCTTGTAGATGGGGTGGGAGTAGAATGGGTCGGATGACCGCGCCGCATCGACGATCCATCGGCGATGCACTGGCGACGCCGGCGTGAAGAACATCTGGCCCCACATCGAGCCCCATCGCTGATGCCTCGCCGCTGCATCGGCGATGCTGCGCGATCCTCCGACCCCATCTACTCGGACCCCATCTAGGAGGCCTACCCCAGACTTCGTAATAAAAGGGAGGGGGTCTGGACCCTCCAAGACAAGCCATTCCAGACCCCCCCCCCCCTGGGAGAACCCTCCAAAACATCGTCCCCAGACCCCCCCAGGCCCTCCAAGATAGCCTGGAAAAGACCCCCCCCTAAATGAGACCCCCCTCCCTTTATTACGAAATTTGGAGCACCCCTCGTCGGAGCCTGGCTGCCTTCGGGTCACACATGCCTCTGGCCTCCCGGGGCCGCTCGGGAGGGTGCGGGCACCCCGGGAGAGCTCTCGACAGGGGTGCAGCGGCCGGAGAGCAGCCCGAGGCGAGAGGACCTGCAGGAAGCAGAGACACTTCGAGAAGCAGCGACGCCTTCCGACCCCCCGACCCTTGGAGAAGGGCGAGTTGAGACAGCGGCACCTCAAGATCGGTCCCTGGACCCCTTCTAAGGGTCTAAGCGCACCACTTTTCCGAGCTGCGTCCAGCCGTAGCGACGATGGGTCCCCTCCGAAGGCCACCTACCATGGGACGCACAGAGACATATTAATTCCTCCTTGGAGGCGCTCGTCCCACCCGAACACACAGTACACCCAACTTCTAGTGTATATCTATATATATATATCGCTCTCCGAGCGGTGTGGCCAGAAACCGCCCGCCACGACGCATATGCTGTAAGAACTCTCGGTGCGCGTGTCGCCCCTGGGGGGGGCGACGCACACATAGTATCAGTATGTTGGGGTGACGCCGACCCCATTGTATGCACTTGACCTCCTCTGAGACTCTCCAAAGGTAAGGTTTCGGTGGGGCTTCTTGGCCGGCGGAGGGGATCATGCTTTGGCGGAGTGTTCTCCTGGCCTCCCCCCGACCGTAGGCATGATGCCAGGCGGGGGACTGGGCGCCCGAGGCGGACGTCGAGGTCAGGGCCCAAACGTACCAGTTGTCCGAGCTGCGTCCAGCTGAGGCCAGGGGGGCCCCCCACCGAAGGCCGACTACCACTGCATCAGCTCGACCTCCTCCGAGACTCTCCGTCGTGGCGACTGCCCACCGGCGGGCCCGCCCACCGTGCCGCCCGCCCCATCCGCCGAGTGCGCGCGCGCTCGCGCGCGCGCTCGCGCGGAGAGCGCCCGTGTTCGGGCGTGGACTCCACCCCGGCCCAGCGCAACCCGGGCTCAACCGACTCTGCGAGAACGGCGCCCGTGCGCCGCACCATGCCTGTAGGACTCCGTTCCGGCCCCGCTCCGACGCGGTGCGGAAGACCCGGGTACGGAGGACCCGGGTACGACGGAAGAGGTCCGTCAAAAATTTTGGGGCGCTCCGATGCAAGTGTGCCGCGTCCAATCGAATGCCCTGGCCCCTTGCTGCAACGACTCGCACCACTCTCAACGATGCAATCAAGAAGACATTGAATGGCATGCCGCTTCGCTCGCGAAGCGTGCTACACGTGCGCCCGCGCGCGTATGTCCCTATCAAGTGCGAAAGGTTTCCTTTCTAGTTTCAGATTTGTTCGTGCCGCATTTTACGACTACCACTGCGAATCCAGAGAACACAAAAAACTTTCCAAAACATCAGATGGGACAGGCCTGCCATGAGCATCTGGACCCCCCGACCGATTTTGACGAGGACGTCAAAATTTGACGCGCCCAACATCAAATTTGACAAGGCCATCATAAATTTGACGAGGACCAACCAAAATTTGACGACGACGATTGCTCGAGACATTCTCGAAGAATTCTGGCGCGTAAAATTTGACGAGCACCACTTTTTTTTTGACGAGCGGACGGTGGCCCACGTCGGCGGCATGACCGGCCCGACTCCCCGCGTCAAAATTCTTTGACGGACCCTCCCCTGATTATTCATTGCCCCGCGATGGTCCCCTCCACTTGTTGTTCCACCTCCCCTCATCTCTTTCTCCTCCCGTTGCCTCCTGCTTCGTCCATCTCTTCCTGTGTACCCCCCACGCCAGCCCCACAGATGGCCTCGAGAGGCCCTCAACAGCCCCTGAACCCTGTCCCAGGCATCACTCGGTTCACTAGAGCTTCTAGCGATCCTGCCGAAAAAACGCCCTCCAGCAGCGCCGCGTCGCGGAATGTAACCGACGCGCGTTCGCAACTAATTTTTAAAATTCCCGCGCGAAACTCGCGTCCCGGCTTACCCGGGTCTTGCGCCCCCCCGAGACTTTGTTCGGCTCCGGGGGCCGGAGCACTACGCACCGTAAGTGCCACTCCTGGGTCGCGGATCGGCGACGCCTCGAGAGGCGCAAACGCGGTACGTCGTCCGCGGGATTGAAGCGAACACTGCGCTGATTGTTTGGGGGGCGTCCCAAGCCGGGCTCAGTAAAGACCTGAGGCCACCTCCAGGGCCGCGATCGGCTCCCACCCCCCGCTCTGCCCAAATGCGGCGCTGCGGGATCCTGCAGGATCTGGCGCTCTGGCCGAGCCCAGTTTGCGCTGCACCCCGCTAGCGCGGGCTCGTGTCGTGCCGACTTCGGCCTTGGTGCCTGACACCGCGGGGATCGCTCGACCTCGAACGATCGGCCGCTTCGGAAACGTCAGACCGTTCAACGTCGACCGATTCTGGGCTGCCGCCAGCGTTCCACATGGAACGCTGGCGGCGGGGTCGCCGCCGGTCGACACGACGCGTACCTGCTGTGCTGGCCAGCTAGAGGCCTCACAGATGGGGTCGGAGTAGATGGGGTCGGAGGACCGCGCCGCATCGCCGATCCATCGGCGATACGCCGCCGATGCATCGGAGAATTGCATCGGCGATGCGTCGGCGACGCCGTCGTGGAGAACATCGGGCTACACATCGAGCCGCATCGCCGATGCACCGACGATGCGGCGCGATCCTCCGACCCCCAGCTGCTCCGACCCCATCCGGGAGGCTTACATCCCCAGGACGGAAATGTTTTCCTCTTGATGTGGTGTGTCGGCTAATTGCTTGTGAGATGTGGTGTGTCGGCTAGATGGTAACCAACGAGTCCGAAGGCCAAAACGCCCATGCGTTTCGGCCCTGCGTCTCCTCACCCAACGGACTGCCTGTGAGATGTGGTGTGTCGGCTAGATGGTAACTAACGAGTCCGTGGCCATTTTCACCTCAAGAGGAAAATCTTTCCTCCTGCGTAAGTAGGCCGGCTGGCCTGTGCCCTGCCCAGGTCCTCCGGCTTGAGCCCGACCGCGTGCAGCATGGCCTGCCGCCGGGGGGGGCGCCCAGGCGGGGAGGGGTGGGGGGCGGCGCCAGGCCCGCGCCTCCCGGGCCCGAGCACGCGACCGGGGAGGGCGCGGCGTCGGCTCAGAGCGGCAGCGCCTCGGGTCGCGCCCACATCGGATCGCGGGATCGGGCCGCCCCCTCTGGGCGATCAGCATCTGGTCCATGCCCCTGC